GTAACCCGCTCTTCAGAGAACATACAGTACATTTTACATCTGGTCAGTGGAGCTACAGGAGTAAAATAAGGCCTAAGTGTTTGCATTCCATTTACATCTTTCTGTATGCCTTCTTTAAGTGAGAGCAGGAGATCATTGTAAGTGAAAGCAGGAGTTGATTTATACTGTAGTTTTCCACTGTGCCAGACAGTTTTGTGCTTCATTTTTCCCTTTCAAGCTTTAGGCCTACTATGTAACATTGCTTATTTATCGTAAATGATGTTTTCAATATATTATTGTCTGGCTTGTAGAAATCTTTGACACACCCCAAGTGAGTACTGTAATGTTGTTTGTGGCAATATTCAGAGATTTTAGAGCTAGAGGCTGTATCACAAACTGCAGGAATTAGCATTGTTCCCTGAATGAAACGAAGCTCTACTAATATCAGAGTTTCCTGAAACCATGCTTGGATTTAGCTCCAAATTTTCCATTTGTGAAAAGTTCAACCATTTGCTGAAGTTTTGCTTCTCTGGAAACAGACAGCTGGCTTTTACTCCCTGGAAAAAAATGATTACAACTAATAGACAAAAGGTTCTGTTTGTTTGTTTCGAAACAGCTGCTTCTAATCTACCTTGGATTTCCTCTAGTATTACAGTATCAAGGAGGACGTGAGCAAACAAACAAGAGGACAATGAGATCCTGAAGGGCAGATTTCCAACACCAGAAAATCCACTTGTAGTGGATTCAAATGTAATCTGATGCAATAGCAATGTAGCTCACTGCAGTCATTTATTATATTGTCCTTTAGCTCCAAATGTACAGAATATTTTCCTACTGAGCCTGCATAATTGCATTGCAGGAGATACCTAGGACTCATGGAAATTCTGGCAGCTGGGATCATTGCCTTCTGAACTAGCATGTGAGGCTCTTAAAATTCAGGAAAGCATCATTATTTTTCACAGTGTTCACATTTTACTTGTTTATTCACTACTGTCCAGGGCAAAAGGATAAAGACAAAGGCTCTGTCAATAATAAAGCCTTCATCATTATCTGCAATCCTGTCCCTGATGGCTGCTCCATGTCACAGAAACCCAACTAGCTGACAGTGAACACCCGTCCCTCATTTCATTCCCCAGTGCCACCCTCTCCATTCATTGTGGATCTAGAGCTGGAAGGATAAAACTGAGAGGAAGCCAGTATTTCCTCACACTTAATCTGTGTGTCCTGAGACAGTATACACTCTGGCTATGCTGTTAATCTCTAAATCCCCTAAACAGATAATGCTTTCTAGAGAAGCTGCTGTAGACACTGAGAAGAAGATAAAACTCACTTGGTTGCTACCTTGGAAGACTTCAGCTTCCCAGGCTGAACATGAACATATAGCAGGAACAAATCCCTGTCTTGGTCTAGCAATTTTCTCCTGTGTGAAGAGATAAAACCTGCTGAAAATAGGAACCGAACCATGAAACTTCATTCCAGCAATCTGGGATGTCGAGAGACCTACCAAGACAGCTTTCAGCTTTGCTGCTGCTTGCAGGGACTTTGCTGGTTTCCCCTGGGCTTGGCACCAGCCCAGCACCTCTTGCTCGGAGGAGTAAGGTGTCCCTGACAAAGGAAAGGCCATTAAAATCTCCACATATTGTGGCAACTTTCCAGTGAGCTCTAGAGTTCTGCTCATCAGTTACTTATTTTCTGCTCTTTCAACCAGCACCACGGAGAAGTGAAACGTATCACATAGCTTCTGGTTTGCCGCCAACTACAAGTGACCCATTAAAAAAACCCAGGTGAAATTCTCACTCTGAGTACAGACAGCTCTGCACAGGATGGTACATTCTGCCTGTAAGACCTTTGACAATCTGTAGCATTTAGATTTTGACAGAAGGAAATAGGAAAGGGAGGTCAAGAATAATTCAAGATTGGAGTGCTGTTGACAGGACTTCTCCAGGAGCTGGCACAAAGATCTTGTTTGACAGGGGGCTATATTGAGAGATAACATTGTGAGTGTGCCACAGTTAGTCTCAGTGTTCTGAAAACAACAACAACAACAAAAAAAAAAAAAAAAAAAAAAACAACCAAAATCTTATTGAGTCTAGTTTCCAAGTTAAAGAATGAGACAGCACTCAACTTTTCCATGTAAGCTGAGAAGATGTGGATGGTGGATGTCTCACAGCAGGAATGCATGGTACCAAGGACTCTGATTTCAAGAATACCTTAAAATGTATGGTAAACTCAATTAAAGAACCGTGTCCATAAAAGACAAGTACAGTCATGAAATGGATGTCAAGAAATTCATTGCAACTTATTGCAACTCATTAAAAGAAAGTCTATTCATCTGCATTCTTAAAAACAAACAAACAAACAAACAAAAAACTGAGGGCAGCACAAAAGCAAAAGACACATCCGTGAAGTAAGGATTCATGAAGAGGAGATATGCAAATACCCTGCATTGAGATAAGGCCTCTGATTCATTTTAATGCAGCCATCAAGCTTCATCTCCTGGGAAATGCTCCATGTACAGACTTGCACCAAGCACCTGCAAATCTCTGGAGTGAAATTTATAGCTGCTAGTGCAAATTGTTCGCAAATTAGGTTTCACTGGAACTTCAAGCTTTCCCCCTCCCCTCTGGCCTTCATTTTTTCCTCTCCAAGAAGACCCCCTAGCCCACAAAAGGAACATACAAACATTTTTTATTTTTTATATACATATAAATGATGCATGCATATACCTATGAAGGAAAAAAAAAGTACTTTGAATTGCAGTGCATTCAAAAGTGAATATAATTCAGCAACAGATTCACCTACAGCCTTTATTCTGTTGTTCATTACACAGCATTCTCCAGATAACAAATGACTATTTATTCTCTTACTGCTCTTAGATGGCCAGCACAAAATATTCCTAGTGTCAAATGGTTTATTTTTTAAACCTGTTGCTTATCTGTTCAAGACATGTTGTTTGGAAGCTGTATGTGTAGAGTAGAAACCCCTTGACTAATAATTATAATTAAGTAATGAAGATTATGTCACTATATCTGGCGATCTGGCAGGTAAGGGAATACATTAAGAAACAGAATATATAAAGATGAACAAGTCTAGAAGATATGGATCCCATAGTCTTCTGAGAATTAACTAATAAAATTACTGAATGACTTGTAATTATATTTTGTACTCTAAGGGAGTGCCAGAAACATGTCTGAGGAATTGGGAATGAAAAGATGGATTGATGAAAACTATTGTTATATATAAAGAAATACTAGTAATTACAATTTGCTAAACATATCTTGAGCTATAATAAACTTAATTAAGGTAATAAATAAGAAAATCCACGTGTACCTACACTGGTGAGGACTAAAAATAAGGAGTCAGTGGACACAGATGCAGAGACATATGACACTTAAATATTTTAGTGCGGATTTTGATCAGGTAAGTTTTGATACAGCTATAAAATCTCATAGGACTTAAAAGCTTTGGAGAGGTGACCAGTTCTGTATTCAGCAGCAACAGGAGTTTCCTTCTTCAGTTTGATACTACAGTGGTAACAAGTACAATTATGTAGTTAAATACAGCAAAAGCCTTCATTTAAAAGAAAAAGAAGAAAAAGACTTTAGTCCAATTTTGATATACACATTCAAGAAAACTTTCCAATTACCTTGAAATAGCATGGGCAGAATTCTAGATGAATTTGAAGTCAATAACAAAATACCCATGAACTCCTGGGGGAGCAGACAGTATTGGAAGCAATTTTATTCAACACATATTTTTATATTTTTATATTGCATCTACTGCCATGGTCTCTAGGTATGTTGTAAGGGATTAGGGACACAGCTCCCACCACATGTGGTCGCTCAGCTGCTCTCCTGGGGCAGGTGTTCATGTGTGCCAAGTGGCATGCTTTGTTCTGGAAGTGAAATGGGAATACCCTGCCAGATAACTTGATTGGTTCTTTACCGAAACACTGCAATGCATGTGAATGCAGGAGATGAAGTGCAGCTGGAATCAGGCACACATGCCATGTGGCAACCATCCGGAATTGGCCACTGCAGGGAGCTATACAAGTATGCCAGTGTGGCTGGCAAGGAAAATGTCTGAGCCCATACCCGTACACCTCCTCAGCACAGTGACTGTGCATGCACTTAAATCCTGGTGTGGGCTGTACTGGCAACCAGAGGCTGCAAGAAAAGAGAATTTACAATCACATTTCACTTTCATAGCATTGCACTGTCAGTCTTACACTGCCAGGTTATCTGACCTATATTTCATCCTCTCCAAAGTAGCTTAACTTGTGAGAATATCCCTCTGAACATTTTTAATTCAGCTCCTTAGCTGGTACTGATTGTACTGCAGGAGCTCTGAGTTTTGCCACAGGTGGAATGACTTCTTACATTTCTTTAGCTAGCTCAGTAAACAGTCATTTAAGAGTAATTACCAACAAATTAAAAAGTTGAGTTACACGTTACAGAAATACAGAGGGGTTGTATACAGTGTCTTAGTCAGGAAAATAGCCTTCAAAACAAGACATCATCAGAGACTGGTAAATTGAAAGTGTAAAACAGCTGTTAGATAACCAATTTACCTATTCATCTGCTGTCATAATAAAAAAATGAACAACAAAACAACAACAAAACCCAAAGTACTGCTGTAGCTGCTCACTGATGTAATGCAGAAGATAGAATTTCAGCAATTAGATGTTATAAAATGAAATACAGTAAATACACATAGAGAAAATAATAATACATATGTATAAATGTAAATAAAATAAATAAAATGCCAGTTTCTGAATTTCAATGGATACCAGTTTCTTCAGTTACCCCAGGGAGGTTGTGGATGCCCCATCCTTGGACGTGTTCAAGGCCAGGTTGGATGGGGTCCTGGGCAACCTGATCTAAATGTGTATGTTTGGTGGCCCTGCCAGGCAGGGGGTTGGAACTACATGATCCTTGAGGTCCCTTCCAACCCGGGTGATTCTGTGTGATTCTGTGATACTGTGATTCTTAATTTCAATAGACTGTAAAGGCATGCAAATGAAAATCTCTCAATGCTTTTATTGTACTTACTGTTTAAATGTTGAACTTAGAGATTACCTTGCTGGTTCTATACAGCACTAAAATAACAGATCCATCATCTTATATTATATATGCAAATTTGTAGAGTGCTGATAATAGCTCTGATGTAGACTGTCCTTGAATTCTGTTTTTCATTGATCTTAATACAAAGGAAGAAGGTGCATTTTGTTCCACTGTAGCAGACAACATTTTAGAAAAGAGTTAACAGACTGAATAGTCAACAGAGCTTCATTATGAATGTAAGAATATTAAACACCATCATATTTAGTTGTTACAATTATTAAAACGCTTGGCTTGTGTGTCATGAACTCCCTGCAGGGTAACCCAAGTTCAGCATTATGTAAACAACAGCAGTTTTCTTAGCAGGGGAATATCTAACGTCAAACCATGAAAATATTCAGTGTAAAAGAACAAGCAGGATTGTTCTCTCCAATCTGTTAACATACTGTGTTTTAAAAGTCAAGATTTTCCATACTAGCAGCTACAGTGAAATCCTACTTAGCATATTAAAGTAATAGATAGCTGCAGTATCACAGGCATAACTCAGTCTGTTGACTACTATGGATAGCTCTTCCACTTGCAAAAATTTCTATGTTATAAATATATGATGGCAACAGTCCCAGAATTAAAATATTATCAGAATGACACCGTAGCGAGGATTTTAATTTAAATTCTGTCACAGAATATGAAAACTTCCTTCTATAAACAGTAATAGATTATATGCTTCCAGCCTACAAATAATAATTAAAAAATGTTTTTAAATGTAGTTCATCAGTATTATTACCAAGTCAGACATTTGCTTCAATTCTTCTTTCAGTGTTTTCCTGTGTTCTGTTCAACTGAGGTCTCTTTCCTTCTGTAAGGAACCTTCACACTCACACCTACTGTAAACTTTGTGGCAGTAAGTGATCCGATTGTGCTTTTAGAAATTGGAATCTAAAGGACTTTCACATAAAATCAGATAGCTCACGCTCCTGCTTTTTGTGCCATGGATAGTTCTGATACGTGAGCAGCAGTGTTCCATGCCACAGCTCTGCCTCTGAGCTGGGACAGCCACATTTCTTCCCAGACTTGCTGTTCATATTTTTCTTAATCCACCTGTGAAAAGGAGTACTCTGTTCATTTTGAGGGGATACACTGTATAATGTGAATATAAATAAATGTTCACAAATTCAGCAAACACATCAGTTGGAACAGTTAGGATCATACTTACGCTTTCTGCTGGAACTAAAAGTATGACAGCATACACACGAAAAAAACAAAGAAATATTCTCTGTTGAAGCTATGGAGCTTTAGGAAAAAGGTATTTGTGCTAGTGTGTTGGAAGAAGCCCGTGTCTGTCATTTGCAGAACACCTGGAGAGCGCCCAGAAACAGGCCAGCATCCTTTGTCAAGGGGCAAGGGAAGGAGCAATTAAATTAATTAAATCTGCAGCTGAAGGCTGCAAGGCTGAATCCCCAGGAATGAGAAGCTGGCAGAGATGTGCTGCAGCTGCTGCTAGGGGCACACGGGCAGGGCGGTGGGTGATGAGGATGTGGCTGTGGGCAAGGAGCAGGCTGAGCTCCCAAGGGGAAGCTCGCTGGGAATGATGGCTTAGGAAATGTGAGGAAGTAGACTGTAGGCTGCCATGTGGTCACAGGCTGTCTGCACAAGCAGGACGCTGTGTGGATTTCTCTGTAAATAAACTGAATTTTCCTAAAGAGAGGCCTTATTGTAAAATTCCATTTCCCCTCCCAGCAGAGTAATTGGGCGCAGCTCTGAATACCGGCTGAGCGCTCAAGTCAGAAAGCAACAAGATAAAGCTTTGAGCCTGGTACAAATGTTACTAAAAGAATCTTTTCAAGCCTATTCTGGAACATTACAAAACTGACTTCTCCTCCAGCATTAGTCCCAACATTCGCTGCCACTGTTCTCAGAGGTTCCTTTCTTGTTGCAAGTATGTGAAAGGCATAAACACGAGATAGCTGCTTCCACACAGGAGCTGCCTTTCATGCCTGTCAGTTTCAGAACAAAGTCCAACTGCAGATGATGTGGGAAAACCAACCCTAAAAAACAGGAAATTGATTGCAAAGAAGTGGGAGGAGGCACCCAAGGAACAGTTATCTCTTAATAGGGTTTATTTATATTTCAGTATGGAAGTCATATACTGGCATTGGTTGTTTTTAAAGGGCTTGCATTTGGGAAGGTAGAAGAATGAAGAATAAGGGCAGATCCCAACTAAGTAATTGCTGGGCTCCTTATCAGCTTGCTTCATTCAGCTCTCAACCCACCCAAATTGTCCCTCCAAAACTACTGACAGCATGCAAAAGCATAACACTTCTGTAATACCTCAGCACACAATTAGCCTGGGGAACTTACAGGATGGCATGTTTTTGCCTTATGATAAAACCCAGTACATTGCTAAAGGAATATTATTGTTATTCAATAAACCTGTGTGTCTTTGTGCTTTATTCCAAGATTAAGCAACCTATCATGCCACACTCAAAAGAGTACATTATCACCTGAACGCATGGGGATTTAACAGGAGAAGAGATCTCACTCTGCACATGTGAGCACTGTGTAACTTTACCAATCATAGGGAGATTAGTCCCCGTTACTTAGGGCGGTTTATGTTCTCAAATGTTTCAGTCAATGGATGTGTCTTCAGTACTGGTAGAATTGGTCAATAATACAAAACTTTATTTGCACTGTATGTTCAATTGTTACGTGAAAGTATATTTAATTACTGAAAGGGTTCTTTAAAAACAACTATGTTTTAAGTCTGGGAGACTAGGATATGATAGATAGCATATACTCAAACTAAATAAAAGTAACATTTGCACTGTGAATTATTTTCTTTTCCCTCTTGCTGGGAACATTCCCTCCATCCCTGCAAGTAACCATAAATCTTTTTCTGTAATGCTCTGCTAGCTTTAATAAGTACAGCACAGTAGCCAGTGCTGGTTTTCACTTACTGTAGCTGAATGTTAAGCAGCACTGCAAAATGTTAAGTTGCAAGATAACTGACTAGTTTTATTAAGACTCTTTAGGGAGATTGAGAATTAACAATGCTTCTCACCTCCTTCTTCACACTCCAATAGAAAAAATGCTAATTTACTATTAACGTAGTCACAGCTGTCTCCCATTCCATTTTCTCCGTTTCACAATTCGGGCAGGAACATATGTGCTGGCAGTGTGTATCTTTGATAGAAAAACAGAATTCCTTTCAGCAAAGATTCTGCTCACAATACTTCATGCAAGAGAGAGAGAAAACTTGCAATATTTGGGATATAAAGAAACATGCATTGGAACTACAGTACCTTTGCATGTGATCTTGTTGATAACATCCTGGTGCTTTATGGCCAAGTCCTAATTAGAGCTGCCTACCACCTTACCCCTGAAAAACAAAAGATGAATTTAATTCTCTTAACACTGACAGTGGCGTTACGCACTGAGTGGGTGTGCTTGTGCTGCTGGATTGAATTCCTTGCAGGAGTCCTAGTCTCTGCTCACCCATACTGCCCAGATGTTGTGGCTGCAAGGAGGCAGGCAGGCAGTTTCATAGCACCTTGCTGGATTCCAGTTTGCAGACCAGCCCTCTGAGATACCTAGTGCCCCCTCCCTGTGCCTGTGCCCAGTGCTGTGTGTCATGGAGCAGCTGTCCTCTCTTCACATCCCTTGTAACTTCAGAGGAGACATTGAGGGTGAGCTCTGTGTTCCTCCTAGTGCTGTGGTTCAGATGCAGCGGATCTGTCCTTTGTTTACATGCACAGATCAGGAAACCATCTCATCAGAACATGAAACTTCCATGTGAAATTTGTTCATTCCATTGAAAAGGATTATCAGTCTGGAGCAGTTTTGCAGGTTTACCTTCCTATCACAAGCTGGACAAGATCCTTTTCAATGAGACTGTCACTAAGCCAAATGACTCACCATCAAAACCAGTTCAGAAGACCCAAGGTGAGACCTTCCTTTCCAGCCCTGTCTGTGGCCACTGCAGGGACAGCTTCCCTCTACATCTTAGCAAATCAAGGCTAAGATGCCCTTCAGCTGAAGGCTGAGTGGTGGCAATGCCATGTGGAGTTCATATGGCAAGAAAAAGCCATGAAATATGAGACATCTGAAATGTGAACATCTATGCCAAGTTTCTGTGGCTGATTTTTGCCTACTCCTGCTAACCTGCCTGTAATCAGAAAAGACAAATTTCTGCATGTTTGTGGCTTCTGCAGCCCCTAGCAACCATGCCTCCTGGCAGCCTCCATAAGGGAGAGTTCACATACGAAGGATGGGGTGAAGCAGAGCAGCTGGGTCTTCTTGAGATCTCAGTGAGCAATAGGCCCCACTAAGTATATGGTCAAGCACCTGGTTGCCAAAATAAATTTTAAAGAATTTTCAGGACAAGAAGGAGAGAGAAGGATGAGATTTTTACCTTTTGGGTATAAGAACCTCAAAAAGAACAATTAAAAAGCACACATTCCTGTGTGTCCCTCAGTGGGACAGATGCATTTTCTATGTGACATAAAAGACAGTTTTTTCTTCTACCACTAATTAAACAGATTTGCCTTGTTTTGCTTAGCTGAGTCGAAAGACTGATCTCAAAACAGGCAGGCTTTTTCTGTTAGCGTTTCAGCTCAGATCATGGCCTGTCTCAACCTCTTCATCTCCCAGGGTGCAGCATGCATTCTGTTTGTTAGGGGAACAGAGGTCTGAAAGCATCTGCTTTGTGTTTTTTTTTTATAGGAGTTGTCTCCTGGCAGAAAGAAGAGAGGACTCTTTCCTCCTCTTGAGGTTTTGTGGACACTATGGGCTGTGTCAGAAGTGGCAGGACAAGTAGTCTCACCACTGCATTCTGGTTTCCTTATTCTAAAACTGCCATAAGTAAATGAGACACTGGCCCATCTTTGTCTGGAGACTTTGGCCAAATACTTTGCAAACTCTAAAGTGCTTGCAAACCTGTAAAACACCTTGGGACCGCTCCAAAGTCAAATAACGTCAAGATAAGGTGACAGATTGCATCTAAGTCTGTATGTGCTTGTCCATTTGCTGCATGAGCTAAGTGACCAATAAAGCTGTAGCAATAGCAAAGAAGAGATATAGGTGCTAACATTTATATGCAGAAGGGAGGGCATTCTGTAAAATTCTAAGGGAACACACTCAGCTTTGCTACTTGTGCAGTCACACCCCAAAAATAAATAAAAGATAATAATAAATAATGGTGGTTGTGCCTGATGTGTAGGAGTGTGTGGCAGAGTACATGGTTCTAGCAGCAGCTGGTGGTGTCTCATCACCCACTGCCACTTTTGCCCAGTGATGGCTCTCCAGAGCTGTGGACGCAGTATGTAGTGCACAGAAAAAGGCTGGCAGGTGCCACAACCACCGTTAATTTCTTTTGACGCTTGAGAAAAGGTTAATGTAGGTGAGCTGGGAGTAGGCATTGTATGGCCTTCCAGACGCAAGTCTGAAGTGACTGACTGTCAGCCATGGGAGCATGAGGCAGCACGGTCATGCTGGGACTGAGCCATGTGGTGATGGGCCAGCCTGAAGGGTCAGACTGCTCATATCCCAGTTGACATGGGCACAAAACAATGACGTGCCAGAGACCAATTCATCACAGTGTCAGCCTGGAGAACTGGTGTTACCACGACACATAGCAAGCACTGATGTACTTGTGTTTCAGGCTGTGTACTCAGCAGTCCTACTGTCTCCCAAAACTAATGAATGTTTAATTTGGTTAATGCCTGAATACAAATTTCTACAAGGCTTCTAGAATGTGGGCAAATATTAAATAGCATCTGCCCCCCAAGATGCACATGCAATTGTTTCATCTTACACATAAAACAAACACAAACTGAGTATGTTAGCAGTCTTTAGCTAGCTGGTTTGTAACATCACATTTCCTCAGATACAATAAGTAATTTCACTGGGATTCAAACTTTTCTGGCACAAAATAAACATTTAATTGCTTGCACATATTCTGCTTTTAACTGATGACTGTTCCTGTCAGAATACTATAAAGGCAAACAGTTTCAGTTTTCTGCAAATATCAAACTCTACCAGCTTATGAGACTGGTAGCATTATTCTAGCAAGCTTAAAAATAATGTTAATTATGCTAAAAGCACTGAAACTTGATTTGATGACATACAGATACATTGTCAATGCCTGTATTTTTCCTGTATTGAAGGCTGATGTCATTCCTTAATCATATTTACGATGTTATTCCATCTTATTATCATTTTTGAAATGTCTATTTTAAATATGTTGGGCTGCTAGATCACTGAAGTGAAATAGTAACTTTTAAATAAGCAACAAAATAATTTTAAGAACACGTTGAGAAACAAATGAAGCTACAAATGAGTTTCTGCTGTGACTGTAATTCAATTTCTCATTAAGTGTGATCAGCTCTTCCTCTCTTGGTGGGGAGTGTGATAGACAGAACCTGTCATTTGCTCAACTACCAGATGTAGGGTTGGTGGGGCAGTTTGTTTTCTGGTGATGACTGCTTTGGTTCATCAAAGATATTAGGGCAGAGTAATTGACTAATTACAAAAACAGTGAATTATAGCACTGATGGTCCTTTCTCCAGCATTACTGAGGACACATCATTAAGACTGCCTGTTCCTAATTCCTTTCATTCTAAAGCAGATGTAGAAGACAGCAAAGCCTTAATTCCTCTACCTCAAGCTATGAGATAATTAAATGTGCAATAAGTAAAATCCCTCTCTGCTGGATAGGTAAGGGCAGTGGAAGGGCCAAAGGTGGGAAGAAGTTGTCCAAGAGCTGGGCAGTCGAGCCACTTCTTAGAATCAAACCCTATCAGTCATAAAACAAATCACCTTTGTATTCCTTTGCCAATTCCTTTTCTTGTGGAGTTTCAGAGAACCCAATGTCCTAAAGCAAAAACTTGAAGAGCCAGATTGCAAGTCAAGATTTGTTTATTGGGGCCATTTCTCAGGAACGCTTCCAGCACTGTCTGAAATGGTTTTCTTGTACCCCTGTGGGTAGATATTTTCCATCCATGGAAGAAAATGCAGAACTGGCCCTAAGAGCAGAAAATATACAAACTGTACTTGAAAGGATGCAGCTTAGTGACTGATGGAAAATTTTCTTCTGTTAAAGTTGTAGAATCCATAAAGGAAGGGATCTTTAAAGGTCGTTTAGTCCAACTCCCCTGCAATGAACAGGGATGTCACAGCTAGATCGGGTTGCCCAGGCCCTTATCCAGCCTCACCTTGAAAGTCTTCAGGGATGGGGCATCAATCACATCTCTGGGCAACCTGTTCCAGTGCATCACAACCCTCACTGTAAAAACTTTTTTCAGTATATCCAACCTAAATCTACCCTCTTTGAGCTTGAAGCCGTTTCTCCTTGTTCTATCAGAGCAGAGCTTGCTGAAAAGTCTGTCCCCTTCTTTCCTTAGCTCTCCTTTAAATACTGAAGGGCTGCTATCAGGTCACCTCAGAGCCTTCTCTTCTCCAGACTGAACAGCCACAGCTCTCTCAGCCTGTCCTCGTAGGAGGGGTGTTCCATTCCTTGCATCATTTTTGCGGTCCTCCTCTGGATGCCTCATGGACCCCAACAGGTCCATGTCTCTCAAAAATATAGTGTGCATTCCATAGAACATGTTTTAAGGATACCAGTTCGGATCTTCTTGGCTTCAGTGGAGAAGGGAGGATTCAGAAGAGATTCAGGAGGAGAAGGCAATGCAATGTAAGATGTGACTGCAGTAGGGGAGCGCACTATAGATGGAATCTGCCTTGTAACACAATTGATAGCATGATGCAAAGTGAGATAAGGCAAACAGAATCTGTTTGGAATGTTCTAGGAGGGAAAAGAAAACTCAAAATGGCATGATGAAGAGGAAGGCCAGCTTCAGATGGATGTAGAGGTGGCTGTGTTTAGCTCATGCCAGAGGGAATATATATAAAGCTCAAGAAGCTCAATCTGTAGGAACACTAACACAGTCAGGATAGGAGATTAGGAGCACCTATAAATAAGTAATGATCTAAGAACTGCCTAATAGGATGTGAAGGGTGAAGTGAGAGCTTGATTCCGATTCAGTTGGAAAACTTTAAGATTACAGTTATAACTCCAAAATCCACTTTAAAACTGAAGTGCAAATGGAGCAGTAGATTATTCATGCCCTTCTTTTCTGCATTCCACATCTTCCACTGTGCTGCCCATGACTGTTAGTTCACTTTTGATATGTCCTTCTTGCCCAACAATGATTCTTCCTTTCCATCATCTTTCTTCCTAATTTTCCCAGACTCTTTCCTTCTTCCTGATTTTTCTAGCTTCCTGCTATTATTTTTTATCTACTTCCCCTATTCCCTTGCTTAGTTCCATGTCCCTTTTTATCAGCACAGTTCTACTGATAGCTTAGAGTTAAAATCCATATGTTGGATTTACCACTGACTACAGTGCAGCTCCTTTCATTTCAGCAGCATTTCATTAGCACAGTGCTAAAACAGCAGCACAAGCAGGGCAAGGAATTGAAATCCTACATTTACAAAGGTGAAAATCACACATTCAGTAAGGCTCAAAGGAAGATGAAATAGTGAATCAGCCCTGCATCATGCCCATACACATGTGGAGATGTCTCCTCTCTCAGTCATATCTCCAGCATATTGGGCCAACGCGCAAGAAGCAGCCAAGATACTGCTTGCAGCAGGGAGGACATGAACAGCACCATGAGACAGAAAGAGCAACTGACTTCACTTACTGGCTGTGCCAAACCTTTTCCAGAACACATCTCAAGCTGCAGCACTGCATTAGAATCAGGGAGTAATTCAGGACATCCTTCACTGTGAGCAGGGCTAACAAATGTCTGGGTTTTGCCCAGCCTGCATTCTTTTCCAACCCAAAAGATATTTCTGGGTGAATTTCTGGCACATTGAAGCCATTCAGTGGTAAAATTATTGGTCCTATTTTACTTCGCTGTCACAAAGTGACATTGGACTGTTTCTTCTCTTGGTGGCTGATACATGGCAAAGAGGTCGCATCCTCTGTGATCAACAGTACAGATCCTAATTGTGATGTTCAAAATTATCAGTCAAAATTTTCCTTTGGACGAAAGACCAAAAGCTAACTGAGAGGAAAATGACAACTGTCCAGCTATAAACAGGGGATGTGTGTGCAGCTGGCCCAAGGGTGACCGCAACCTAGTGTTCAGGCCATCCAATAGCTCTGGGAAGTCCCACAGCCCCACTTCCATTTGTATGATGTCATTCTGATGCAGGGACTCCCTTGAACTTCTCTAAAGCTAAATGCAGATCAATGAAGATTGGTCAACATGCTCTAACATCTTCACAGATGGTCCCAAAAATAAAAGCATTATAACCACTGTGCACGCACTGCACAGTCACAGCACATATGTAAACTTTAGGGTAAGTTGAAGCAATTGCCCAAAGGAGTCTGCCTGCAGCTCAGTGGCAAGCTCTACCTGCCACCAATGGTCACAGAGTGATAAGGGGCAGCTACAAAGCTGAGGACCACGGGCAAAACCCATGAAAAACTTTAAATATATTCAGCAAAATACATAAAGATATCGGAAAAAAAAATATTTTCCAAAAGAGCACTGGACTGGGCTGCCAAGGGAGGTGATGGAGTCACCGTCCCTGGCAGTGTTCAAGAAACGTTTAGATGTTGTACTGAGGGACATGGTTTAGTGGGGAAAGATTGATGGTAGGTGGGCAGTTGGAGTGGATGATCTTGGAAGCCTTTTCCTTGACGATTCTATGATGCAATGATTTTTTTTTTTTTTTTTCCTACCATCAGCATTTTTTTTTTCTGGTTGTGTTACAAATGTTGCTCAGAATTTTCAGTACAATCATTGTAAAGCAAAATGTGTCAATATACAACATAGTAGTAGGAACTGCGGATAAATAGAATTTCTACATAAATGAATCTTCTGGAAAAAATGTGATTTTTGTCCTCTTCTTTGACTGTGATCATTTGCACCAGCAGTTACAACATTTAAAACAATGTATTTCTTTTGATCAGTATTTTGTGCTAGACATGACTCTGTCAAAAAACATTATTTAAATTCATAGGATTACAGAATGGTCTGGGTTGGAAAGGACATTAAAGACCACTCAGTTCCAAGCCCCTTGCCACGGGCAGGACTGCCACCCAGCAGATCAGGCTGCCAGGACCCATCCAACCTGGCCTTGATTGCCTCCTGGGATGGAATGTCCACAGCTTCTCTGGGCAGCCTCTCCCTGGGCTCTCATAGTGAGGAATTTCTTCCTTATATCCAATCTAGATCTATACACACTTTTAGTTTCAATTAAGCATTCAGTTTTCAAGCCCAGCTACTTAGATTTAATTGTACAAATTAGATTGAGTTCAGCGAAACTTCTTACTAGCCTTAGTCAATTAGCATCAGTGATGATGGTAAGTATCAGATAGCAGTTCCATCAAAATCATCCAGATTTTTCACTAATTAAAAATGCCTATGGTTGTTTCAGTGCTTTTATTTCTGAATGCTAAAAGCAATGGAGAAGAGACATTTGCAGAACTATGGGGGCTGCTCTGAAAGTAACGCCCCCTAATTCATCGTGTCAGTCCACGACTTCACAGGCAAATGTTGGTGGCATTTGGCAGTAGAGGATGAACCTTCCCAGCAGTATTTTGTTACATGTCGCCACATGACAGATGGCAGCAGAGGGGCAGTCTGACAGAATGGTGTCTGACGTGGAAGTGTGCATGAGGGAGAATTCTGTCACTGAATTCCTCCATATGAAAAAAATGGTGCCCATTGACATTCACTGATGCTTGCTGAATGTTGATGGAGACCAAATACTGGATGGGAGCACAGTGAGGTGGTGGGTGATGTGTTTCAGCAGTGGTGACAGTGGGTCACCTCAGCTGGTGCAGATTTTTGGGTGCTACATGCAGGCTCTTGTTCATGGTTGGTAAAAATACATAGATAATGGTGGTGACTATATTGAAAATAGCATTTTGTAGCTGAGAATTTGCTCTGTAAAACAGTAATATTGTACTCTTTGTATCTGTTGTAGTTTCCATGGAAATAAATAATAAATAGGAGGCATTAGTTTTGGAGTGAGGTATGTATTACTCAGTACTTCATATGCAGTAGGCTACTGTCCATCAGTTTACTCTTTTATTAATAATTACCATGTGCACAATTAGAGTTGAAATTTTATCTCTACATTGGCAGCTTTGTCTTAGGCTTAATAAAGTGATTTACAAAAGGCCTATAGCAAATCATCAGTGTAAAAGTCTCCTGTGCCCTCAGTTCAGTGAGATTATTTTTAAAACCTTGAGAGCTTTTGTTGGTTAGCTGTGAGAGAGTGTAGGAGGACAGGACCAAGTGTGCAATTTTGGAGAATGCAGCTGCCATTAGTTAAGCACAGAGTATGAATTAATGTGTCTGAGCTGCTGAAAATGTTCAGAGCCTTTAGAAATAAACCTTCAATTTTATATCAGTCAATTTAAATACATTAGTTTTAAGATTTATTTTTCCATTTTTCATCAGAGCAAGTAAAGATATTTTATGCATTTTCATATAGAAAAACACTGGATTATTTTAAATACATTATAAATATATATTCCATATAAAAGCTATCTTCAGAAAGCATAGAGAGGCAAAAACAGCCCAAATTAAATATGTCTGCACAACCTCTTGCATATTCATTACATGCAGGCTTTTTTGAACAGTTACTTTCAATACAATTGCCTATGGAATATTTTAAACCTGTTTTCACTAGAAAAACCTCCCTGTTACATAGGAATAACCACCCTAAAATAAGCAACAGACATTTTGCAAGTCACCCTAGCAGTTTGAACATGCTGTCATTCTCCCAGCTGTTTCTTGCTCTTTGTGTGAACTGGAATCATCCCCATTCTAAAGGTAGAAAAATCCAGGGATCCTCCCTTTCCCTGCTTGCTCCCAGTCTGGGCAGTAGATTGAGTCCCTCTCGGCTACATTTCAAAATATCCAGCTGAAGCAGAGCTGGAGAATAGTTCTTGTCACCTGAAAAGCTGTGGAGCAAGACAGGAAAATGATGAGCAGCTTGGGACAATAATACCTCCAGTGAGTGCAGCCCAGCTGGACAAGGATGGCTGCCCACAGCCTCGCTTACTCCAGCAAAACAGTATTTTTGCTGACATGGCTGCTACCAATTCCCAGAACAGAATCCTGGAGCGCTGAGCTGTTTCATTGTTTCTTTTTTTTTTTTTTTCCTTCTGTTTTTAACTTTGTCTATTGTTGGAGTCTTTGCCGGTATGAAGCACAAAATGACAGTGAAATATCAAGAGATTTAAGATCTAGAGCTGACATTAGACCTTTTGCCTTGAAGAGAATTTTGAAGAGATTACCTTGTGGATCATAGGTCTGCATTTAATAATCAATCCTTCTAAGAAGCAGTGATTAAGATGTGAATCATAAGTCTGTTCTTAATAGTAAAACCTTAAAAAAAAAAAAAAAACCCCAAAACCCCAAAAACAAAAAATCCCTCCAAAACAGAAATCTGCTCCTGAGGCAAAGCTAATGATTTACTTCTCATACTTCGACATGATGGGTAGTCAGTTTCCTCCTCTATCGACTCCTCAGAGTGCATGTGCCTCATTCGATTACTGCTGTAAAGGTACGGTTTGCATAGGCCTGTGTTGTAAGTATCATCTCAGAAATATTGCAGTTCCCACATTTGAAATTGCCCTCTTGGCAAAATTTTTGGTCCATGTTTAATCTTTTAATCAAAGAGCTAGAAATCACAAACGTGGCATCATTTTTTACCCCAGTGATTTGAGTGATTAGATTTCATATAGGCAGGCATACCACAAATCCTTTCATATTTCTAATATTAATGTTCTTTACAGTCAGTAACTTCACCTTCCACAAGTCTGAGTCATTATATTCACCTCTTCATAAAGAATGACTCAAACTAGATAGTATGGCTTGATGCCTGCATTAAGAAGGTAGACAACCCTTTTTCTTCCATCATAACAATTTATTCAAGACATACATGAACAACTTGGAATAAATCTTTAGTTCTTCCCATCTGACCTTGATCACAAGACATTAAAAAAAGAAAGAAAGAAAGAAAGAAAGAAAGAAAGAAAGAATGAAATATAACCAGCTAAGCAGCTACTATTCTGTGACCCATTATAATAATTTTCAGCTTGGCTAATGTTGGTTGCTCACCTTGAATGTACATTTCCACTGCTCCAACAGACACCATATCCTCTGGGAATTGCAGCTTCTTTTTAAGTAAGACAAAAATTCTCATTCAGGTTTTCTACAAATTCCTTCCTTCCTTGACTGCTGCAAGAAGAAATGCTTTTGCAAAATAAAATATGAGAGTGCCAGTTCTCCTGTTTCATCCTGCCAACCTTTCAGTCATTTCTATGAAACAGAAATTTGATCTCTACAGCCTACCCATTTTTTTGTGCCTTCTTTGGAGCTGGCCAGCAAGCTGAGTAAATTAACATAAATGGCAAAAGAGGCTGGACATCTGGGGAATGACACCAAATTCATTTTACATAAACTTCCAAGTAACCAGATGGCAAATGATTCAAAGGCCTATCTTCAAGAACCAGCTGTATAGTCCAGTTACCAGACTGGTGTTACAAGTCAGCTTTTTCATCAAGAATTACACCTACAACTTTGCCAATGACCTTCTGTTAAAAATAAGTTAAAATAAGAATTGCCAATACTACAGGGAATTTATAAGGAGGTTACCTGGCAATGCAGTATAGGCCATCAGTAGTTAATTATATAAAGATAGTACATAACAAGATACTGACTACTACAGTGTACGTATCTTACTCACCTATGCAGTCTGGATATTCAAAACAGATTAATGTTAATTAAATGGTCCATCAAGCTGAAGCGTGCAAAATCAATGAGCACTGACAGCAGTGTAATAGAGATAAATCTAAGACAGTGCCAGTTATGGGAGGAGAAGTTTAGACATTACATTCAAGCTATGGCACCCAGACTTCAATTTGGACTCCCTCACACATTTAGCATTTCCTTTCTTAACTTCGTATATGGGGACCAGCTTTCAATGTCAATGGTTTCCAGACTGATACAACAACACATCTCTACTGACCTTACACATAACTAGGCTGATTTGATTTTTCCCCAGAGGTTAGATGAGGTGGGACTTTTATAAAGGGGTCTTCATGCTAAAGATTTCTGCTGATCATACACACTCAAGTCAGTGACTTTTGACTAAGCAGCACCCATTGCTTGGCAAATTGTTATTTCAGTTCTCTTTGCAGAATATGCACATTTAATTAGCACTGTTTTTATGGCATAACATTGTTCCTAAAGAATGGATTTTGGTCCTTCTGGAACTTTCCCTCCTCGGTCTTTGTTTTAAAAAATACAATAAAATACCTTCATTCTTGAACTAAAATAATGTTTTAAATCAAAATGCCACAGAGTATGAACTTCGTACTTTATGAAATGTGAGAATATTCATTTATTTCTATTTAATACCAATCTGACCTAGAAATTCTAACAGTTTCTTTTTCCTCAGAACTTCTTGACAGCAAGATGTCAAAACAAAGAGAGGACTATGTAGTGTTCATAAACAAGGTGCTGTCCAGTATCAGCTCTTCTTTCTGCAGCAGTCTTCTTCCAGACACAGGGCTGTGGCGTAAACACAGACCAGAGCATCCCCTGGTTTTGTATTGAGACAGCTATGTGACAGAGTGAATTATAATCAGTGTGGATTTTGGGTTACTTTTCTTCCATTGACACTTTCCAACCAGAACGGCCAGAAATTGTCTGGAAGCTTTGAAAGATTTCAAGAACAAAAACTTTTCATGGAGACTTTTCTCTGTCAGGTCTCTAATCCAGGTTCAGAACCTGTCCCTTTGATTGAATGACTACCATCAGCTAGAGGGGAAGAGAAACCTTCTCTTAAAAACATTACAAGAACAAAAATGAATGATGTCTGATTTATAAATCTACTCTGTTTTCCTTATTTTGAAAGGTGCAAGCATATCTGAAACTCCTACCATGGCCAGCTCATCCCTCTGCTCCTGATTATCCACTGCCTAGAAGGTGATGAGCTCACCTGACATCTTTCCTGAGGGCACATACGGAATCTCCTTCCTCTGTCCAGTTGTCTATGCTCACAGAACATAATAATCTCTGAGGGCTGATTTCCTCAAGGACAACGAACTCAAAAGTGATAAAGATGGGAATTCACATCTGTATATGATTGCACAAAGGCAGTATGATTTCATTTCCATGACACACCAATGAACAAGGCAATTTTTAGATACTAGCCCATCAATACAATTTACTACAGTCAAATCTGAGAGAAAAAATAGCCAGCTAATTTCAACTGACTGCTTTGGTAGCCAATACAAAATTTCAAACATCTTTTTTCAAGAAAAACAACTCAATAAGGTGTTAGAGGAGAATTTATACAGGTACCTAAACATTGAGGAAAGATGTAGTAGCACATTGTAGACAAAATAATGAGAACAAATTATTTGAGTCATTCAATCCTATCAACTGCACGATACACGACAAGCAGTTCTCTGTCATTGACATAAAAGCCTGATCTAGTTTGTGTACCCAACATTTCATGGTGCCGTCACTGTCTTTTGGGAATTTCTTTTTCTTTCTTTGTCTTCCAGAGCATCTTTTCTTCCTTTTAGGACGTACAGAGACTCCCATGACTGTTCATTCAGATTTCCTAAACTCCAGTACTTTGATCTTAGTTTTGTTCCATGAGCAGATTAAATTCCAAAACATTTTGAGAAATTGTTTGAAATACTGTGGAGAAATAAAGTCTTTCTTTTCCCCTCAAACCAGAATAAAAATTTTCAGCATTTCTATGTTGATGCATTTCATTTTCCTGCATTGAAATGAAATGAAAATATTTTATTGAAAACCACGTGACATTGCAGCTGTCATGATTCTGGAGTGCCTTGTGAGACCTGATGTTTTAGAGCTTCTCTTCCTGCCTAAGCCTTGGGCAGCCTTTCCCATAGCACAGGATCGCTGTGCCAGTGTGCCATGATGCTTCATGGGCAAGATGCACGGGAAGCTCAAATCACAGAGTAGAGGAACACCACACAACATCTGCACAAATCCTCAAAATCATCCGTAACACATGGAGGTTGAAATGACTTCATATAAAACGTTTTAGTGCAGTTCAAAAGATTTTAATTTAGATCAGATGTATTCAAGGCAAAGTCATTTTTAGGTTCCTTAAAAAATGAAATAGTTTCATTTGAAAAGTCATGGCTTTGAGGAGAAATGCTGCTTTGGCTATTCCTCTACTATGGAAATATGATCCTGGGAACAGCACTTGCTTAACAGGCACTCATACATCCACATGTCTGGAAGGAAAATTTCCGTAACAGGTTTGCCTCTAAAGCCCACTCTGCCTTGGCTGAACATGGCAGCAAGACCAAACCGAAACTTCTCTATTTACCCTGAAAGGTCACAAGAGCCTACACCTGAGTAGAGGTGTCAAGATTCTTTGTGCATGAGGCTTATTTTGACTCAACAGTTCTCAGGTTCACTGAAAAACTACAGCACAGATTTGCCCTGAGTTCTCAACTTTGGTAGCTCGTGATGCTTCAGAAGGCCAAAGGCAACTGTGACTATGTTTAACTGAGGCAATAAATGGCAGTAATGGAAATTATTACTTAGGGCAGTCCAGGGTAAAGTTGAAAATTCTTGTCTGCAATCCAGTAACATTTTTTCTGTCTGTATCACATGATGAGTACCACTTCTGCCCATTTCTATTATTCAGAGACATGTTTAGAGCATGCATGCAGTGCAGCCGTGGCTTCCAGCACACCTGCAGCTGTCAGCAGCCTAGATGCCAGTGCAGAGTTAGCTGCTGGTACTTATTTGTTTCTAAGGAGGACCTCAGTTGTATGACTGGGAGGCAGGAAAGGAAGGGGAATGCTGCTGCTGTGGGGGTACACACAAGTATCTGGGTGGTTGGAGGTCTCCAGGAGAGCAGGGGGGACAGAAAGGGCAGCACGGAATGTGGGGCAGTGCGGGCAGCACAGGAGGTGGGGAGGCCCGGCCCAGGGAGGTTTGAAAGGAGAGCGATTGCTACGTTTCCTCTTTGCTCTGTCACATTTGGAAAACAAATCACACGGGCAACTAAAGGCTGAACTTAACCAACAGCACTGTGGTACAGCCGCTGAAATTGCTGGGAAGCAGAGTGCTGTAAATCCAAATGAACCAGGCTCCCCACAGCCAGCCAGCTCCCATCGGAGCAGCACCAAGCCCAGGTTGCTGCCTGCCTGCCTGCCTGCTCTCCCTGCTGCACTGGGAAGAAACTGTCAGAGCTATTCACACTCACAAAATACCGAATTAAAGATCCTTGCAGCTCCTAGGAATAACAACAGGATATAATCCTCAGGATATGAAGCTGAAACATGATCATCTACGCAATATACACATTCCTGGACAAGCGTAATCTTGCCTCCTGAAGACAAGGATCTTTTCCTGAACTTCCTGAACCCGCAGACTGTTGCACTGGGCCTGTAAATGCTTCGTGTCTCACTGCGCTGCCAAACTACGGAGCGGGTGGGAACCCAGAGGTTAATCATGGCTCTTGAAATGAATAACTCTGTTTTACTGATGGCATGGTGTTTTGGGAAATAGATAATTATCTACTAGTATGCATATTAAATTACTGACTAGTTTGCATATTATTATGAGAATTATCAATGCATATTACATTATCTGTTGCTTTAATTATAAAAACATTTATGGTGACAGAAGATTTACTGAAATAACTTATCCTGAAACTAGCATTATTTTACGATGCCCAAGAGATGAAAAGTACACAGCAGAATTCAGGCTTCCCTCTGGCCTGATTCATTTCTTCCTTTATTGGACTCAGAAGTTTGTGAGTAGGAAACAAACTTTCTGAACGATCAGGCCATGGAGAGTATTTTATAGCAATGGGAAGTTTCATTTTCTTTATGACAGTCTTTTTCTGGTGCTGGCATTTTAACTATATTTGAAATTTCCATAGCACTTTCCGCCTTCAAGTATGACGCTAATTGAGAGGGTCTGTTATTAGTAAAATAATATTTTGTTTTAAAGGAAAAAAACATTACTCTTTAAAAAAACATTTTGAGATGGGTCAAAATGGCTTACACTAAAAGCTTATAAAGTTTTGATTGTTCATTTTAAAGAAGTCTGTGTGGAAAATTATTTATTATTGAAACAGAATTAAATTACTAATGAAATGGAAAAAAAATTAAAAGAAACCTCTTAGAAGAAACATAACTCTCTTTAAGTCTCTAATATTTCCTGCAATGAGAGCCCTGCATTCTAACCTACTCATATGTTATCCGTCAGAAATAAACAAGAGATAAATGATGATATTTTGACTAAAGCTCAAAGATGGGCTCATCAAAGTTTGGAATTGTCTTTTCATTGGATATTTTAACAACTCTACAAGTTTAAATAAATATTAAAATTTCCCCCAACCCAAAATATATCAAAAAATAAAACCATTTTGAATACACTGAAGTAAATTTATGGAAGAGTTACTGTCTGAAGTTAAAATTATAAAAATTAAATTGAAGCAATTCTGCCTTATTGAGTCATTTCAATGTGCTCCTGAAGAATGCTTTACTGCTTTGATCAGAAAACCATTCTTATTGAAACCTTCTAGGAGCCAATGTATTTAATAAGCAAGAAACTTGTACTCAGTGAAGAAAATGCTGGAGATTTCCATGCCTTGCTAGTATGACATCCAGAGTTTATCCAAAGTCTGGAGTAACAGCACCAGTTTGTCTACCTTTGATAACAGCATTGCTGAGCTTTGGAAAAAAGCAGGTTCTTAGCTGTTTGATTTGTACAAATTTGTAAATGTAAAGTGAAGTAAGTTTCTGTAGAAAGAATTTCAGTTAGCTGTGATTACCAGCAAAAATGTCAGCAACTTAAGCCCATTCTGGGGTGACCTACAAAGACACCGAACCCACACAAAGTCTTGTATTTCTTTGGAAGCAGGCTTTGTTCTCAGAAATGTTGACTCTCCCCTGGCAGGGTATAACTTTCTAATCTCTTTCTGAACCAGTTTAAATGTGCTAATAACGCCCCTTAATTTTAAGAAATAATTCTTTATCCTAAAAAGATGAGAAGATTCAGGTGTCAGCCTCTAGGGACCCATGAAAACATGTTATTATATTCAGAAAAAGTATCCATAATCTTACACACAGAGAAAAAGCCTTAGAAGGGATTAGGAAATACCAGTGTTCTTTGCCAGTAAGTACATAATTCATTCAATTTAGTTACAGCTAATCTTTTTCCTTTACTTTTTTAGAACTGACCTGATGTCAAATTTACATACATTTCAATAGGAGCACATTTTCTAGTCATACAGAAAAAGATTAGCTATATACTGTGGTCCTTAAGAGTTGCAAACTGCTTTTAAATCCTACAAAGCAATAGTTTATAACTACGCTAAGTGTTCTTATATAATTGCTAATAAGAACATTAGCACTCTTCCTACACGAGAAGTATCAATTAATCTTTTATATTAAAGTAACTTTAAGTTAATGTGTCATTACATCAACAGTGCTGATTTTAAAAAGTTTCTTCCTGTGTATACCTTAAAAAAAAAAAAGAGACTAAAATAATTTTTGTTTTATTTCAATGACGTTATGCATATGTTCATCATTATTAAGCTTTTTAAAATCTCCAAACAGTCTCACCAGGGGATCGACAGTAAATCAATCCATTGCTTTCAAGGAAGTGTTATCTTTTGGGGTCTCTGCAGCAACCACTGCAGGAAATCCCTGCTTAAAAAATTAAAAAGGAAATAATAAAGAAAAGGTTTTCTGTTAAACAAAGAACAACTGAAAGCTGGCTTGCCACGTGATTAAGGACTTGTGTTACGGTTAGAACACCCAGACTCAATTCTTGTATTTACCAATTCACTTCATGTTTCTGTGCCATAACTCAGCATTTGTCAGATGAAAGGAAAACACTTTGCTACTTAAGCAGCTAATATGTTGGAGAAGGACTCTTCCTCCCTGTGATTCTGTACTGTTGCTACACAACAGCATCCTGGTGTGACTGGAGATTAGGCACTACGGCAGCAAGCAGCAAAACCCCTGCAGAAATATTCATACAGGCTTTAAGATTTCAAAAAAGAATTGTTGTATGATAGGTAGGGTATGCCAAATGAAAATGAACCAGCTACACGAGCATGAGAGACTAAATTTAAGATCACAGAGTGAGGTACGAAGAAGTTTTGGAGGCAGAGAAGAGGTACCACATAGGTTTTAAAGACACCAGAACAATGGTTAACTTGATTGTGTTTGGATTATCACTTTGAACAGGAGTTGGACTTGATGATCCCTGTGGGTCCCTTCCATCTTGAGATAATCTATGATTCTGATTCTCTGATTCTGTGATTTGCACCTCCCTAGTCACAGAAAGGAGAAAGGAGCAGCTGTGTAGTAGAGTTCAGGAGCTGAAAATGACCTCAAATCTTATAAAGTGTCGCTGAATTTTGTGGATTTTGTTTGATTGTTTGTTTTCTTGTGCTTTGTTTCCTTGAGTGAATTTCAGAAGGGAGTGAGGATGAAATGTCCCATGTCTACTGATCTCTACTCAGAATGGGTGATGCATGCTGATTCCCAATTATGTGGGAATTCATCAACCTCCTTCCCTACCAGTTGAAAATCACTATGCACATCCTATTTTTAGTTCATATGGTATTTGTTTGTCTTTTCCCTGTCTGTCCTACTTCCCAGCAGTCTAAGAGTGGGCACTGTGGGAAACTACATTCTTGTTTCATACATATTAATTTTGCTTTTGTGTGTTAAATAGTTACAGAACCTTCCAGAACTAGGATGAATCTCTGTAATAATCTCTTTTTTTTGTCCCTATCGACAAGACTATACGATATCCTTGAATAAGTGACCAGTTAAAAGCCTATAGATGTATTAAAATGGTTTAAATATAAAATTAGAAAAATATCTTAAGCATGGTGAAGAGCCTCAAACATTCACTGATTAATTATTTTCCCTCACTGTTGAAGCAAAATAAAAAAAGAAAAGATGAAGGAAATTAAGCAATGCATTCAGATTCCAGACTGAATTTTGTCAAGCATGAGTTACAGACTGCCAGTCACATCTTCATCCACTACACACTCAAAACCCCTCATTTATCAATGAGCTGTTTCTCTGTCATGCTGAAATGAGTGAAACCCAGAAATCTCACTGTAAATGACTGATTAAAGTATGGCACCCAGATCCTATTCAAAACCCTCACTTAACAAGGGGAAGAACATAGCCTTGAGACATCTGTATGGCATTCCAGCTATGTCCTGTGTGTCTGGTACTCCCAGCTCTTGTCTGCCTTCCTCAGCCCTGCAAACAAAACAGAGAGAACAAATCTGGCAAGGCTTCATCAGCCACTCACCCAGGCTCTCCCAAATTTCCCGTTGCCGGTTCTGTCCCCCTCCTCCTCTGGGGAGAGCCACCTGGCTGTACACATTCAAAGCCAAGATTCCCCCAGGTGGATGTGTGCCATTTTGTGTGTCTGCTGCTCCCGGGGCTGCCTCAGCGTGTCATTACCAGACTTCAATTGCCTCTATCCTACAGCAGGTACAGGTAGGATGTGCTGAACTGTGGAACACGGAAAAACAGTTGGGAGAAGTTGTGCAGCCAAAAGTTTTTAGGCATGTGATCACACCAGTCAGGGCTTGCGCTGCGTTATTTATAGCTTCCTGTATCCTCTCACTCTCCTCCTTCCTCAGTTAACAAATCCCAGATACATTTGGATAACTCCTACAAAACTGTACATTCAAAGAGCAAGAGCAGTTACAGTAGAGAGCAAATATTTACAATTGCCATGGAAAATAACTGTACTCCATTCCATGTTCTGCTATTTAAAATATTTTTCAGCCTGGTTGGCTTAAAAAACCAAGGTAATTACATTCAAAATACATATAACTGAAGTCGAGCATCTATTACTATTCCTTTGTAGGCTGCAAAACCATAAAGAAGATGAGATGCAGCATTGATTGTAGTTGGCTAAACTTCTAAAGCTTAATGTGTTTTCCTCTTTTCCATTTACAGGTCTTTCCTCCAGATGGGTCTTAAAAGCTTGATGTAATTTAAGTGATTACTGGTTTAACTGAGACCCAGTTAAAAACAGCAACAATAAAATTCCCAGATCTTTAAAAGGCACTTTAATGCTCTTCTTACTGAGGAGTCATCAACAATCCCAATGTAATGGGCTGTTCTTTCCACACCTGGATGAATGACATGGCCCTGCCAGCAGCAGCCACAACACTGAGTGAAAACTTGCTTCTCTAAAATCAGGAGTTTGTCATTATCTTCTAAATAGATATAGCAAAACTCTTTACATTAAGTCTGACAGGGATTCAAAGACACACAGCATAATCAGATTTTTATTCTGGTATCAACTCTGAACTTTACAAGAAGCCACATTACATTTATGCAGATGTTTATGCCCTCCATTAAATATGGAGAGTTGTTTGCATACACTTTTGCAGGGCCACATGAGGCATCTATATTGCTCTTAACCATTCAATTGTGCAAATGTTTTCCAAAATTGCAGGATAAAATGTTATTACATTAGCTATTTCATGGGCCTCTTTTGTTGCCAGTAATCAAAATGTAGAGGAAATGGACCTAGGGTATTGATTGATGCTACGCTGAACATGAGCCAGCACTGTGCCCAGGTGGCCAAGAAGGCCAATGGCGTCCTGGTTTGCATCAGGAATGGTGTGGCCAGCAGGAGCAGGGCAGTGATTGTCCCCCTGTACGCAGCTCTGTGTCCAGTTTTGGGCCCCTCACTGCAAGAAAGACATTGAGGCCTTGGAGTGAGTTCAAAGAAGGGCAACAAAGCTGGTGAGGGGTCTGGAGCACAGGGCTTATGAGGAGCGGCTGAAAGAGCTGGGAATGTTCAGTCTGGAGAAGAGGAGGCTCAGGGGAGACCTCATTGCCCTCTATAACTACCATTGTAATGAGCTGGGAGTCGGTCTCCTCTCTCGTGTAACTGGTGATAGGACTAGAGGGAATGGCTTCAAACTGTGCCAGGGGAGATTCAAGCTGGACGTTAGGAAATACTACTTTTCTGAAAGAGTGGTCAGAAGCTGGAATGGGCTGCCCAGGGAGGTGGTGGAGTCACCAACTCTGGAGGTGTTCAAGGAACGTTTGGACATTGTGTTGAGGGGCGTGGTTTAGCGAGAACTGTTGGTGATGGGTGGACGGTTGGACTGGGTGATCTTGTGGTCTTTTCCAACCTTGGTGATTCTGTGATTCTCTGATTCTATGAAAAGGCCATTTATCTACTTTATGAGGAGAATTCAGAAATTTAAAAACTTATGATGAATTATTGTATGTGTTCTTTTAGAGCACAAAATGTTAAAGATATTTAAGCATATATATAAGCATATTTAATAATAATAATATAAGCATGTGTGTAAGCATATTTAATAATAATAATATAAGCATATTTACGTTTTGTACTTGGTCTTTGAGACAGAATTAGAAAGCTGTTTAATCTCAGAGTTTGCTATGAGTGAGGAGGGTTTAAGTTTACCTCTATGTCCAGATCTACAATTTGGATTTTATCAATTCTCTACTAATAACAGACCAAAATTGTTAAGTCATCTACAAGATAGGAGTTAATTGCTTTTCTAGCCTTAACAGGCAAGTGAAAAGATGAATGCATATGTAGTCTAACATTGCCTTTAGGAAAGTAAACTGACCAAATTTGTAAAATGTGCTAAAATAATTATATTGGTCTAATCAGATGTAGGTTAATTCTTGTTTTCAGATCAAGTCCAATGTTTGCATTTATACTGGTTACATTACACAATTCAAACTGTATTCTACCAAGCTGTTCACATTCATCAAAAGCTGGATCTTTATCGCTAAAGCAACACTGGTTTTTCTTGCTCTTGTTCATAATTTTTTGCCCTTAAAGATCATAATGTTTAAGGTGTTTTTTTTTTTTTTTTTTTGTTTTGTTTTTAAATCAATTCTAATGGTGGATAAAGTCTGAACATGTTGCAGTTCTGTAATCCCTAAAGTGCTGCTTTCCAGGCCAATGAAGCCACACAGGAAATCTTGTAAGGTCATCAGAAATGAATGTTCTTTGTTGGAGAAGGATAAAAAAGAGATTTTAATAATAAAGTGTGGAATTGTAATATACATAGAAAGCTTAAGGCTTCTCAGATGCATTGGTAGAATTGAATTTTGCCACTTCAGGTATGGAAAGAGCAGAACCAACATGGAAAGCTGGTGAAAGTCCAAGGTTTTCTGGTCTTGCTGATGTTGGAGAGGAGGAATGGTCACTCTGGCTGGGCTGCCATGGGCTGCCTGCACACACTCATCCTCACGCAGCAGCTGTTTCTAATTCTGCCCTTCTCAGTTCTGCCACAGGCAATGCAAGCAGAAAGGACAAAGCCATTTCATGGCCTTCAGCTGCTGGAGTCTTAAAAGCAGATGCCAACTCTGCTCCTGCCAATGATGTTTGATTATCAAGATGTCCCCATGGCAGACAAATTCCTACTCCTGAAATTGTTGCCTGGTATCACCTTTTGAATGCACACAGAAATATTCTTCCAATCATGCATGCATGAGCACAACAGAAAAATGCAGGTACGCATACTCAATATAGAAGGATTCTCAATTTGCCTCCTAACAAAAGACTTGTTTCCAGTATTAAGGCAGATGTTCAGTTGTTATCAATTACTACACGGTTCAAACACACAAAACTCATTTGAAATTCACAGATCTATGACAATTTTTATTTTCAAACAAATTACACATGATAGAGATCTGTAGCTGTAATTATTTGTATTGTGGTGCACATAGGTGGCTGGAGCAAGTCAGATTGAACAGGAAGGCACTCGACCTGTCATAGTCACAAAGCAAATGCATAGTGTGGGTGAGTACCTAGTGGATGGGAGCAACAGCAGTCACTGCAGGATGAAGTCAGGGCAGATTGAATGCTTAAGTAATGTAATGGCAAGGACATAGTTCAGTATACACTTCTCAGCTGTACATTTTATATAAAAAAGAAAGTATTGGTAGCAGTAAATGCAGTATGAATGTTACAGCAAGGAAAATAAATACATTTAGATAATTTTAGGGCCTTTTATGTTATCAATTATCAAAGTCAATTTCCAAAAATGTGCTCACTCATAACTGTATTTGTTTTCTAAAGTCATTTTACAAGAAAGTGATTGTTGTCATATTGTGTATAGAACCACTCATGAATGGTGGTAGAAAGGATGATACACAAAATTTGGTAATGGAGGCATTTGGGTAGCTAACCTCCTAAACTTTAAAAATAGTTTTGAGTTCATCCTGCTTACTTAGCTGTCTTTAATTCAGATTTCCTATTCCTTATTACATTTCAACTCACTAGAAACCAGAAGCAGTCCCATTTGGCAGGACTTGACAAAGCCCATATTACCAATGGTGAGGAACAAACAGTTAAAGTAGAAGAAGCCTTGGGCTGATGTACATGCTGCATGTCCTCAAACAAACATACCTAAGGCTTAGAAGTACTCTGTAAATAGCTTACAAACAGAAATGCAGACCAAGAAGGTTATTCATTATGAATGACATAGCAGCTGGAAAATGTTTATGATTTCTATTACTTTTATTGAAAAATAGCATTTATATTTCAAAGTAGAATGAAATAGGAAAGCATTCCAGCTTTCAGTCTTCTACTCATGTTGCCTTGACATATCTCCATTTTTTCAATATAAATAATTATTAATTAAGAACACTAATTTTCTAGACTTGTTCAGACTACACCATTGTTTAAGCACCCTCAGAACCCAGAAATGAACACGTTATGACTTGTCAGTTGCACAAACATGGCTTTCAGCTAACAGGAAAGTCTTTGAGCTACAGAAGTACATACAGCATTCTTACAAAACATGAACCACATGGTGAATCACCTTCACGTACAATAAAAAGAGCAGAATTGAATATAACTAGCCACATGCTTTTTCCCTGCTTAAATTATAAGTTCTTAATAGACAAGCCAAAAAGCAGAGCTACCTCAAACCGATCAACACGTTTGTGCATAAAACTGTGCCCACACATTTATGCAAATATGACCAGCATTTGTTTTTCTTTTTTTACATGAATGTCATTTTTTCTTCACATTGTAGTTAATTCCTGCATTAGACTGTAAGGTAGACAGGGAGGGACTGAAACAAATAATAGTAGAGACAAAGGTAGTTTGATTAAATAAGGTACCCACCTCCTCCCTGCTATCCATTACATCGTATTGTCAGAAAATGTCTAATGAAAATTCATTTGTTTCAGATAGCTTCTTCAGCTAATACACATATACGAAGGCTGCTCTGAAAGTAATGCCTCCTATTTTGTTATATTGGCCCGTGATATCAGAAGTGGATGTTGATATGGCAGCAGAGGTTGAACCTTCCTGCCAGTATTCCATTACATTTTGTTGCTGTGCAACATATGGTAGTTGAGGGACACCCCGAAAAAATGATGGCTGACATGGAAGTGTGTATGAAACAAAGATGTGGAATGGAATTTCTCCATGTGAAAACATGGTACCCACTGATACTCATCAACACTTACTGAACATTTCTGAAGACCAAACAGTGGATGTTAGCACAGGGAGGCTGTGGGTGG